TGCTTTGTACTCAAACTGATCACACAATGGCCTTTGCGCTCGATGTAAGTCTTATAGCGCCGGAGTAGCTTATGACGAGCTATGCTGACAAGCGGAAGAAGGTCTTGATCATAGCTCCTACATCCAGATTTGGTAGAAAACATGACACCCACAGACAGAACCACACTTCTGCAAGCTAAAAGATGGATTTTCGGTTGTCTGTGGGCACACAAAAAATGGAAATACTCACGTTGAAATACTGACGTTGAGCGCAGCGTCGGCCAAAGTGGTACACTTTGCCAACCTCGGTTGAGGAGAATCTTCGTATCTGTTGGCTGGACAACCAGCCAAGCAAGAGATTGCCCTTCTTCTGAAATGTCGACACCAAGGCAAACTGGAACGCACACTCTCTCGTGACTGTAGACATAAACTCAAAAAGCTACTCGTCTGTCAGATCTTCATGTGCCGAGCTTTGAAATGGTCCCTGTTATGTTGGGGTTACATTGGGGATATACTAGGGGTAATATTAGGGTTATACTAGGGTTATATTGGGGAACAGGTACTTGTCCTCATCCGGCCGAGGTACAGCCGTGTTGGGATCCGTGCGTTGGGGGTACTTGTCGTGGTTGCCTTTCATGATGAACAAGCTGACAATCGTCCTCCACAGGACGTGCATTTCTTGCCAGCTTTTGTCAGAGAAGCCAAGGATCATTCTAATTACCCCCGGCCCCCCGCGGACCGAGCTTGAAACAAATGTTCGGGAAATGGGGGGTGGGAATAAACACTCTGGGGCCTGAGCTCTCTCAAACTCAAGAAAAGCAATAGAGGCTCAATCTAAGAATTATTTTGACCTCAATAGCAATGGCGGCTTCAATACTCTGGGCTAAGAATGCTTTTGTTGCTACACTCTCTTGGCCTGCCCCTGCTCAAGTGAGCTAAAGCCAGTGCTTTTTCGGATTCAGTCTACTTCTGCACAAAAGCAAGCAAAAGAGCTCTTCATAAGCTTTCTTTTTGATTTCAATTTGAAATCAGGATTTTTGGGCCTGGTAGTTTTTGTTTTCTAACTACACATTTATAAAAAACAACCCACTGGCCGCACAATAAATGCATAGATAGGGTATATCAAGCAAACCATAGGTTTGCAATGAACATTGAATTGCAAATCCTAAATCTTAGGATTTTCTCGAATCTTGCCATTCCCATCGGCTTAAAAATGCCGATGCTGAAATTATGCATAGTCGGGAGTAAAATTCTTGAAGTTCGTGAAGCACATGTCCCCCAAAAGCTTGGCAGAGAAAGGAGGCCATCGAAGGCCAAAATCCTTGAAAACCCAACCCGCTTGAATGAATGGTAATTATGCCTTCGACTTTGCGACGCTGCGCTGGGTTGAAACAGTGATGACTTCGCCGCATGAAGATTGATGACGCAACAATCTTGAGTGAAGTGCGTGTGAGTGTGCTTTTGTTTCTAATCGTTTTTGTTGCTCGGGCGCCCTCCCCCCGCAACATCAAAAAGCCCTTGCCCCGACAGCAACAGACCCACTCCCAGCGCTGCCAAAAAAACACTGCCGCCGTCCTTTCCCGAACAGCCAGGCTCCACCCGCCCAAGCAGGAAAACAAAAAACACATCCCCGCCACCCCGCCCAAACAGTAAACCCACCTCCTTCCCCCGCAAAACAGCATAATTACACAATGCCCACATCCGCCAACACGCCACCACCGCTGCTGTCAAATTACTAATAAGAATAATGATACCTACGAAGAGCAGCAGAGTCATGGTAACAATACAAGCAGAACATCAAGTGCAATGACAAGAAGAATCCTTGCACTAATAATTGAAAAGCATGGATGGTGATGAGAACAGTGAGGTCCTTGCTGGATTTTGATAGGACTGCCGGGCATTTGAAAAACGAACAAAAAAGAAAAAACAATGGCTAAGGGGGGCAGCGCAGGCCCCCCGCCACGCCCCAACAAACTTGCACAACATGGACGGGGATGAGAACGTTTGGATGATCGACAAGCTTCGTGTCATTTGCAAAGCATGATTGTGGTTCTTTACGGAGGTATAGGGCTGAAGAACAAAAGAGTTGGGGGGGTTCCAGCCACACTTGCGCAACATGCATGGCAATGAAAGCATATAACTAATGGCCAAACTTGGTGTTGTTAGCAAAGCATGGTCCGGGTGTTTTTGGAAGTAGAGAGCTGGCAAAAAAAACAATGGCGCAGTTGGGGGGCGCAGACACACACACCCCCCCTTCCCCCCCCCGACTTGCAACACGTGGATAAGGATGAGAACGCGTGGGGCTCTGGCTGAATGCTGATCGGATTTATCAAGCATCCTGCGTGCCGTCTTTATGAAACAGCAGAGGCGTTGAGATGAGGGGTGGCTTTCCTGTGGGTGGGGTTGGGGACCCTCTTATGGGGGGTCGGGTAAGTCTTTCGTTGTCTTGCTGTTGGGCGGCGTCGAGCTTGTTTTTAATGTTGGGGCAGGAGTATTTTGTTGTTGGAGAAGGTGTCTTTTTTGTTTGCTGTTGCTGTTTTGACGCAAAGCCTCTGCTCACCCACTGGCTGGCCTGCCCAGGTTTAGCGTGGACTACGCAACAACAAGGAACCCGACAACAATGAATACGGGTTCGTGAAGAGACCGAGCTCGCTGCTCCAGACCCTAATGACCTGTACAAGCACAAGCAAACCCTTTGCTTTTTTCCCCCACAGCTTCCTTCCCATTCTTGACTTGGCTATGATTGGCGAAGCTATATCTATTTTGATGATTGCGATTTCTTCCCCGAGCTGTGCCGGTCGAGGTGCCGGTGGCCCTTCGTGGGGCAAATCCAGAATCCCCAGTCAAGATTCCGCTGGCAGCCTTGGCTCGAAGCATTTAGGGATATGCAGGAAAATGGACAAGAAACTGGAAACTAATGGACAACAAACTGGAAACTACTGTTTAGGGTTCAGGGTTTAGGGATCCTACCCCCAGTAACGGAGAATCAAATGCTTTGGCTCAGATTGCTGGCCGGCAGGAGCAGGCATGTTCATGAAAGCCATGAGCCCTTGCAGTCATCACAGCAGATCATAATCTAGTTATTTCAAGAACACTTCATGATATGATATGGGTTTCAAATGACGACACTAACAACCAAGACCCTCCACCTACCCTCTATGAAGGCCCAGGCCGAGGAACCCACTATTGGGGGTCATCTATCCCCAATTAAAAGTACCAGGAGGGTCTTGGAACTTACAAGGCAGGTCATAAATGCCAAGCGCACTCCAGCATGGAATACTTCTATCCTTGTTAGTACTACTGTCATGACGGCTATGTTTAGTGCAACTATCGTTATTGCTGTTTTGCTATTGTTATTATCATGACCAGTTTTGTTGCAATTATTTAACTTTGGTCTTCTGTAAAACTGCCACGCTGTGCTGTGCGCCGAGGTGCTGTCGTCGATGTGCCACCACTCATTTGTGCGGTAGTTCGTTTCTGAGTCCTGCTTTCAGTACCCATGCGTATGCACAGGGCTGTTGGAGTTGCTGTAAATTGACGCAGTGAATTCTGCAATCTGCCTGCCTACAAGTTTCATGTCATCCCTGTGCAATCCTCAACTTTCAGCATCATCGAGATTTTTCAATATGCATGAGACAGCATACGGCGCAGTCTTCTTACAAAGGCTGACTATGAGCGCGTTCTTTTGGCTGTCATGAACATTCCAATCGCTTCAAAGCCCCTCTTTCAAGGACCCCAAAACAGGGATGAAATCCCGTCCTCGTCGTCTGCACCAATGATAGCAGGCTCGTCCCAACCTACTAAGGTGCCGTCTGCCTCAGCTTCTGCGATCGTTCTCCGGACGATGTTATTCCGACCTTGCCTATCTCTCCAGCGAAGATCAGGATGGAAACTCTATGAGTAAGCCTTACTTGAATGTTGCAGCACTACCATTGGGTGAAGCTGTGATGCTTACGGTACAGAACGACAACTTACGGTCATTTACGGTCAATCCTGAATGCATGCCGTGCAGCATCAAACATGTTAGAAATCTGCGAGGACCCTGGAGTCCCAGGGCAGAAGTCGCACCGGTTTTTGCAGGTGTCCTGATGGAACCTGGCGGAAGTGTCATCGTTTCTGCTGGCAGACTCCTTGTCTGGTCAATGTAGGGCGTTCTGATCGCCAGACACGCGGCGGGTAGGCATTTGGAAACATGTCACGTGGGGACAATCAAAAGCCAGTGTCAGTGTTTTTGCAGCCGCCGCAACACAGTTCGTTCTCTCGGCATCAGTGGGCGAGAGGAAGTTACCAAGGAGACGCCAATCCTCGCCCATTGATTGTTAAGGTATCACGCACCAGTCTCCAGCTCCCAAACGCACATGCGCGCCTCTGCCCCGACACCATTTTGTCAGTGCCCCGACATGTTTGAACTGGATCGCGCCAGGACCACTTGACCTTGTTGGGCACTGCAATCACCAAGACACCGCCAGATAATCCAGAATGCAACTCAACCAAACAGGAGTTGGATTAAGGTGTGGTCGTGTGAGCTTTGAGAACAGACCGCCGCTGGAACGTTGTCGCTTCCCTTGTTCTTGTTTGCCGATATGTGTGAGTCGTCATGGCAGCAGCATTTCAATTTGTTGTTGAAAAAAGAAAAGGAACACGGGTCGGCGTCGTAAGGTTTCAACCACAGACGGGGGCTGCTCGAGCGCTAAACACAGTCTGGGATTGAAACCACAGGTTCGGATTTAGAAAGCAAGAAATCCGACAAATTAAGCACAGAAAGCAGTTATGTTAGGTTCTGCTCCGCATACAGCATCACATGAAGTTCCAAACGTACACTGCCACGAAAGTCCGTGAGTCTGTATATGCTTGACATACCTAGAGGTAGTGGCGCATAGACATTGTGGACACGAGCATCACGACACTGGTCGTTGGCTGGCCAATCCTTCTGGAAACACTGCAAAACTCAAACTGACATTCCACTAATGTCACAAACTTAACAGCCTGTCAGGAAGACACAGAAGCTTCAAGACGCCCCCTCACTGATCCCATGAGCCCATGGGCTCTGCTTCTTTCCGGGGCCGAGTGACGAAGTGCAGGCGCGTCGTTCCACGTGACCTCAGCCGACTTAGAGGGCAGCACTCTTTCTAGAGTAGTTTCCATTATCCCTGTATAACTCCAGTAAGCTATAGCATTTAGGGTTTAGTTGAGGGCCTCGAGTTGCAGGCCTCAGAATCTCAGGCTCTGACGCAAACGCTGCGCCATTGGCGTGCCCTCGAAGTATATGGCCCTCGTATTGAACATTCCTCCACGCACAACGCGCTTGGCCCAGCACTTGAATCTTCATAGCTTGGTGCTGCATACTGGCGCGACGCTGACCCTTGAAAAGTAGTATATGGTATTACCTCACCTTGCACACGCGTTGCTGAACGTCCTGCAGGCTTGAAGATGTTGCTGTGGGTCATATCCTCATCCACTCAGGCAAGCAGCAGTCAAGTGAATTTTGTGCTGCAATGCGAAAGCCTCACACAGCCACGGAGGCTTGCATTTGCTGCGAGCTGCCATGATCGCAACATCTCCGTTTCGGTCGAAATTGCGCCACGTCACCTGGCACTGGTTTGGGCTTTGGAAGTTTCACCCAGCACCTCATAGGCCTTAGCTCATTGCAGTGTCTTTTCTAAAGCCGACCGGCGCCCAGAATGCATTATCTTAACTATCTTGGCTTTGCCTTGGTTCATTTGGATCCTGAACACAGCCTTTATATAGCCTAGTGCGACGGTAGAGCTGACCAATTCGAGACGCTGGACGACGAGCCTCCGAAAGGATGGTCTGCATGCCGGTGTCATACCTTCGAGGTGGTCCGCTCTAAAGGCTGAGACCAGTGCATCAACATGGACAACAATGCCGGCATTCCCCTCCCAGACCATCCTTTTGCCCTCGATATGCCCTAAATAGCCACTACTAGGGACGAAAAAACTCTATTGAAGGGTACTAGGAGAGTCTTGGTTCAGACTAGGGGCAGCTCAAAGCCATCCGTCACCTTGGGCAAATCTGTGGCGAAGGTGTTGCCCGTATGCGCGCTGATCACAGCTCGCCACCTGGAAGCTTCATCGCTGGTCCACACGGGCCCAGACTGTAAAACCCTATATTACGGGTTCAGAGTTTAGGTTCTTAAGCCCTGCGTGATGGTGTCCCTTGTTGAAGCTGTGAGGAATTCTTCCCAAAACCCAGGAGACGACGTAGGCCCACCATGGCCGGGACCGTTGAAGAAACAGTGTATAAGCTGTGAAAGCTGAAGCATCTGAGAAGAATAGTGTTTAGGCTTTATGGAAGGGTTGGTTTTAGGGTACGATTTAGGGTGTAGTGTAGGCTCTAGGGTAGGATTTAGGGTTTGGGCTCCAGGGTAGAGTTTAGGCTTTGGGGTAGCTAGTTTCACCGACATGTCCCCGCTTGGTCCCTTCTGGAACGGGCTGGGGCACATGTAGGTGTCGCCCAGCTGCGTAGAGGCACGCGAGATGTCGTGCGCCTCGAAGCCTTTGGGCCAGAAGGGGTATAGTATTGATTTAATGGAGCAGAACATGTAAACGTTGCTTTTAGAGGCGGCAGTATCCTAAACTTCCGGGCTTCCAGAGGGCGTGGCCTCGTACAAAGAACCCCATCATCTGAGAACGCTCGGGATTCCTGTTGCCCAATACAATGCCTACGCATAGTAGCCTCCATTCTAGTTTCCATTTGATGGCCATTGTAGGGGGTAAGGAAACTCCATTCTCTTCCCCCTAAGCCCTAAACCCTTAACAACATGAAGGATGGTATGGTGACAGCTGCGCTGCCTTCCAGACCCAGATGAGGCCAACCGGCTGCACCTCGGCTGCATCGCCACTGCGCCAAAAAGTGTCTCACTGGTGCTGAAGGGGGAAATGGGAGAGTGAATGTAGGGACTATTTTTGAGGTACATAATGGGGATTATAAATGATCCGCTCGCCCCACGCTCTGAGTGTGAGCTGGTTATAACGAATAATCATCATTGCCGATCAATGATGAAGATCTATGATATTTGAGTAGAGCACAGTGCAAGGACGCCCTAGACCTGAAACCCTCATATGGCCCTAGGTCCGGAAGATGAATTTGCTCTTGGCCCACAAGTTCTGGCAATGCCGAGTCACCCCAGAAAAGGATCCCTTTTCTGCAGGCAAAGACCTGCCAACTCAATCAGTTGGCCACAAATGGTGGATGACATGCACGTGTTGTTTCAAAGCAGAAGAGCAGTTTTGTCGCACCAGTCGCAAAAGCAGAATGAGGCAAGTCATGTGCAACTGCTCCGAGACTGACTTCAGCTTGCTAGATTACTATGATAGATGCGCAATCTCTTTGGAAATCACATCAGCTTTGTGCACAACTTTCTACAGGAATGAGTAGGCCGACTGAAGACTCAGGCACTGCTGTATACATCATGAGGTCCATTCCGATTCGTAGTATGGTTTCAAACATGTTCCCGCTGCGAGGTGTTACTCCGGATGCGCTAGGACCAAAGTGCAGGGTCCGGAAAACGCCAAGCCCGCGAAAGTAGACTTCCCTCTTCCTTGTAGCCTTGCGCCTTTGTGTTGGTCATGAAGAAGCGGCCACCCTTGCGGGTCGATGTCCGGCCACTCACGTAGCTGTAGTCATGGGATCCCTTGTTGTCCTCCTTTGGTGTTGGTGCAGTATGCCGCGGGTGAAGTGGACTGAGGGAGTTGGAATGACCCCATGCCTTCACAGGTCATGTGGGGGGCTGTTGCAACTTAAGCTTTGATCTTTGCACCTGCTGTGTAATTATGTAGCCCCGCTCCCTTCAGCGCCAGCTTTCTCTGTGATGACTACTTCGAACATAGCTCTTAGACTGAAGATGTCATCACCACTCCTCTCCATCCTAGATGTATCATCACCGGTCTTGCCCAATGTCATGGGGACAATCAGAAACTTTGTTACCATCATCACGTTCACATGTGGTTATGCTTCCTCCGGTTGTTTTGCGCTGTTGCTGCTGCCTGTGCTGCCTGTGCTGCCTCTGCCTGAGCTTGTGCGGCCGCGCATCCCAAAGCTCGCCGCCGACATACATGCAGCCGCCGCGGCTCCAGAGCCGCCCTGCATGCAGAAGCCTAGATACGAGATAAAAAAGAATCTCGAAGCCCGAAGGGGATTCTAACAAGCTGGGCACGTGGTTGTCGGGATTCAGAATTTTTTGAGACTGTCGGGCATGCAAACGTTCGGAAAGGCTACACGGGATTTTGCAGGTTCCTCGGGATTTGGCAGGTTCCTCAGGATAAACACATCCTTGTCAGGCTTGTGGCAAGGAAAAGATATTAGAAACCACTCCCCATCTGTCCCGAAACCGGGCGTGCTCTCTCCAAGTCTCCCACCAGCCGGCACTGCCTCCAAGTTTGTTGTTGGATGAACCGACGACAGGCTAATGCCCTATAGCCGTTGCCTCCATGGGCATCTGGGACAATACTAGCCCTTGCCTGAATAGCAAATCATATATGACAACGAAGCATCCGCATTGTTCGGTCTGCATTTGCCTGAAGAGTGCGCGGTGTTCGAATCAAACTCCCCCAGCTCCTCCTCGTCCGGATGATAGTCCTGTGCACCCCAACGTTCAGTATACAGGAGGTGCTGGCGACGTCTCCCAACTCTACATGCGGCTCATGCTTGTCAGGACCCCACACAATCCCAAAGGGCCCATGTAGGTTCTGGCATATACTTAGGTCCATCAAGTTGGAAGTGTATATTGTACACCTATATGGATTCACAGCTGCCGAGCCTTGTTTTGCGCGTAGCTGTCGCCCAGAACGTACGGCACACGAGGAAAATGGAAGCCAGAGAAGCCACCGCCTGAAAGGCAAAACTTACAAGGGTTAGTAGGGAATAAGGGAATGTCCTGCCTATTCGCTGATCGCTGAAACCCTTCTAATACTAACCACCAGTAAGAGAACGGCACGTATCATCTTCTAGTGTATGAATAACACGATTACGCCTTTTCACCAAATACATTGCATCACAGTCTCACGAGGAGCAAGCGATATTATCTGTATGTACTTGGAACAAGAAAAGGCAGTAGTTATCCCCAAAAGTAGTGTGCCATACAAAAAACAAAAAAAAACAAACTGAGGCTCGGAAGTACATCATTAAACTTCGCAAAAAAACTCGCCAGTGCGGACAAATTCTACTCACCTACTTTTGGTGACCCCTGTCGTGTTATGCTATTTTTGAGCTGTTAAGCCTCATTGGCCCACCTTGCCTTCTCACAACCATCACTAACCACGAGAAGACCTGTGTTCCCAGGGAACACCAGTGGCTTTGGAAAGTCTAATGGTCATTCCCAAGAAAAACCACAGTCTCTATGCAAAGAGGGCGCTCGCTGAGTTGCCGATCCATCTGTTCTTCGCATTGGTGCAGTAAAACCTTGCCAGAGTCTCGTGTGCCGTTCGGAGGCACAAGCGTGCCATGCAGACTCATGTCAGTGACCGTGCCAGTACCAGTGGCTACACAGGGGGAATCGCAAGTTGAAGTTTCCTGAACCCTAAATCACATGAACAATTCATCCATGGCATTTTATCCATGGTGCGAGTGCACGGAACCTCAAGAATCATGACGGCAACGGGAACAGAGCGTAAATCCATTGAGGTCGGGTTGGCAGAACCCCTTTCGATTGCTCTTCGCCACCTTGAACCCAAACACGCCAAGTCCCCAACGTGCAGAACTCATAAGTCGTAGCCAAGAATTCCACCAAATCTAGATGCACCCAATCGCTGGCTTCAGCCTAAACTCTAGGCCTTAATGCAGCCGAGGTCACCCGACAGCGGTGGCGTCGGTTGGCACGATGCGGCTTGGCTGCGTATGGATTCGCACGCCGCCCTGGCCACCGCCCTGGGAGAAGTCTCATGACCCACACGGCCAAAGCATCTATATAAGGTTTAGGCTAGGCTTTAATGTGGGTATGCTTATGGCCCAGAGGGGTTCCCACATAAGCACTCTAGGGCCAAAGTAATTACATGGACCCTTTGGGATTTGCCAGCATGCTTATGATTGCAGGTGTGATTACAGAAGCCTAAGACTATGTGTAGTGCATAGTGTTGCTCCGCTTATGTGCTATAGTCCCCCTTAAGTAGATAGAATATGGCTTTGGGTATATTATGAAAAGATCCCCACTTACCTCATATTCTATCTACTTAAGGGGGATTATATGTGTTTCCCGTCTTGTGTTGACCCTATGCTTGTCATTTTACCTTGTCGCATCTTTAACTCTGCTTTGCGATGCAAGCCTTCCGAGTGCTTAGTAGGGAGTGAGATTAGAACCCTAAACCCAGCTGGTTGCTATGAAAGGATGAGAGGAAGCATGCCCGTATTCTCTGCCACGCAGCAAAGACCAGGCTGGAAAATCTCAGCCTGAAACTCATGCTGCGACTAGGCTGTTACGTTTATGGACTGAAGTTGGACAATTATGGATTATCATAGACCAGACCCCGGCACGCCGTAGTCATTCAGCTGGTCAATGATGAGGATGAAAGCTGCAAGGTTGAAGTCGAAAAGGTTGTCCCTTTCCTGGGTGGTACACTTCTGAGCGAGACTTTGCCAACAAATGCCAACTCATCTACATGCCTCAACAACACATGCAATGCCCTGTCTGCTCGCAAGTTTCATTTCCATCTTCCAGGTAATAGGCGCTGCCCGAAATGTCATAAGCGACATTTCGGGACACCCTCGAGTTCGATGTGCCGTGGACCTGAATGCTTTTCTGGCTTTACGTGCGCAAGCACAATAGCCTAAACTGCCATTCAAGCGGCACGTCTGCCCGTGCGAGTTGTTCGTAATACGGTCATGGGCTGATCAGCCAATCGCTAAGCTACCGTGCAAACATTCACCTCTTCGCGCTGGCTTTCGCAACGCTGCGCAACAACTCAGGAAGCACACCCCCATGAGGGCCGCGCAAATGAAAACACACCACAGTCCCGGTCAGGCACCGAGTTCTTTTAACGTTGTCACTGGATCCATGGTACGTTTAATTCTTCTTGAGGCTGTGTAAATCTCCATCATTTGAATTGTCTTGCAGGAGATTGCGCCCGTTCAGCAGCTTCATGCCGTTCAGGCGCCGTGTAGGCCCGAAAGTAGCTGTGCTGCACAAGGCAATCTTCGAAGAAGGAGTCTCCATTCACTTTGCCCATCATGTGAAAGTGGAGAGGATACCTTGCACAGGCAGAAGCGTTTGGGGTCTGTCGTTAAAGTATCGGCAAGACATGAAACAGCTGTTGCTGCTGACTGCTGGTTCTGCAGAGTGATCGTATATGTCTAGGAATAGTTAGGGCCTAGTAAACTTGAAGTTGTACGTATTTTGCATAATTTTGCAATTAAGTATTCTGGTGGATGCGATAAGGACTCGTGAGCCAGTAGTTCTTATTGTGACCCCGTTTTCCTCATAGAACAAAAGCCCGCCAGGGTCACCTGCCCATCACATTCTCCTGGCCCATGCGGTACGCCATGGCCCCGGCCACGCGACACTGGGACCCCGGGACGCACATGATGTGGCCACCGTAACCTCAAACAGCTCGACTCAAGGTATATGGGAGTTTTCCCTTCATTAGGGGTACCATTTTGGAGCCCATAAAATAGCAAAACTAATTACACATTAGAATATCTTTGGGTCTATATTGGGGTCCTCTATTTCTGGAAACTAACAGATCAAATGTGAGGCAGTCCCACATACACCTCACCAAACCTGTCCTCAAGCCTTCATGCTTACCGTTCCTGGTGCTCACTCACCTGGTCAGGAGTGGCCAAGAGCGAGAGCAGGTATCCTCACGGGGGAGAGGAACTGTAGCGACTACGTAAAAAAAACTTGGGACACCAAGATGGCATCCTAAATCTATCGGCACTCCAAACTAGACGTTGAGACGCAGATTCAGTGAAAATTTTCTGCCTGAAGAACCTGTAAGCATTTCAGGTTTTGGAGAGAAGTCCTGCCAAATGTTTCCTGGGAGTTTGCTGAAATGAATGGCATCTTTCGGGTTCCTTGTAGAAAGAGCCCCTGCAAAGGGGATGCGGCAATCATTTTGAAAAAAGTGTCTGGTGCCTTTGGTTGAGACAACAGAATCAAAGCAACCATGTGGCTAAAGTTCCCTTTTAAGCAAGCCCTGCCAGTGGGGACTACTAGGCAGAAGCTCTTGCTTTTTGCTTTGCCTCCTCAGTGCTTAAAGATGTTTCATCATGTTTTCAAATTCCTGTTCCAAGCAGGATATGTGATGCAGATGGCTGTCGGGCAATCCAAAGGCCTTGCGGGAATTGAGTGCAAAGCACATGCCCAAAGGGTCCATGTAGGTATATTGTATGTACTTCGGCCCCAAGAGCACGAACTAAATACTTACATGAGCCCCTTTAAAATTTTAGGTATCTGCTTCACAAGACAAGTGCTGGTCAAGTGATACAGTAACGAGGCTCCCAAGTAGTGACCCTGGTCATGCCTGTGCCCAATCGCTTACGAATAGCAACTAGACAACACCAACCTACCAACCAAACCACGAAAGACTCTCCGCCCTCAATGCCCTCCATGTAGAGCTAGAAACTTCTCTGAGCAAAACGAGCAACTGTCCAAATTCATGGGCGCCAATATTCCAAAGCCTTATCGGTATCTGTTGCCCGCGCCAAAATGAAGCCAAACATGTTCCTCAAACCGCATCTACTGGCACCGCTCACCGGCCACTGAAACCCTCAAACAGTGGGTTCTGTCAAAGCGTCGGGTGCTCTCGCTGGCGGCATCTCCTGTGCTTCTTCTGAAGAATAACCCCTCCAAGCAGCAATGCACAATGTTTCACATGGTCAAACTTGCCAACTTTGATTTCTTGAACTAGAAAATCAAACCGCTTTCAGGCTCCTTGGAAGGTGACGGTCCGGGACAGTAAGGCAACCTCTGCAGCATACCTCATGCTGAGGCAAAAGCCAAACACAAAAAAGTCTGATGCCTTTTTACTTGAGTGCAGTTGGCGGGATAGCACGACTAGATTGTCGAATCTATCCTGCTCAACTTGAGCTGCGCTGTATGGCCAAACCCCTAAATAGCAGTTTCCATTTTCTGTTCCACCATCCCTATATTCTGTAGTCTCCTTAGACCTATAATAAAAACAGATTTTGAATATTTCCTTATGGTTATACTATACCAAACATGAAAAATAAGTCCTAAGGACAGTACAGTATTCCCCTATACAACCCCTGTAGAACGCCTATCTTGTGAAACACCCTCCATGTGACAAGTGGCTCAGGCCCGCCGTAATGCCCAAACTGGAGACCCTGAGTTAGGGTGACCTTGGAGCCACTGACCTTGGTTCCACAGAAAGCCAGGGCAAAAAGGAATATACACTCCCGGAAACTAACATGGCAACCGAAAAAGGGCCCAATAAAGACTACAGTCCTTCTAAAAGGGTACTATATGGGTTTCCATGTTCGTTTGGGGAGTGTATGGCCAGGCGTCTGGCCGGTCCTGGCGCCCCCCCTGGTACGGTCTGGTGCGCGGAATCTCCGGAACTGTCGTCGTTTTTAGCTTTGCACTCAGAAGTTCCAACAGTCACAGGGATTGGGTGTCTGGAAGGCGTCATCTTTTTGACTTCTTCTTGTCACTGCTCCTCGTGCCTTCATGCTTCTCGTGAAAAACATCATCATCACCATTGCAGCTATAATCTAAACTCCGAGCATCCCCTCAATAAGCCCCATAGTACTGCCCTATAGAGTCCCCTGCATAACCCCCTTCAAGAAGTTTTGACTTTATGGCTGTTTAGGGTGAAGGAAAAGAGGGCATATGCTCTGGTTGAAGGCCTTGGACACGACACCCAAGCTCTCATCTTACTGGTGTGTTAGCAGGGAATAAGGGATTTTATAACCGCCATGTAACCCCTATATAATGTTACAACATATTCCCTTATCCCAACCCCCAGTAAATTGAAAGCTTTGGACAAGACATGCAAGGTCTCACGTGGGGAGCCAAAGACAGGCAGGCCTTGGGCTCTTGCCCTGACCCTCTTTGCCGCGCTATGAGCTTCTTTGGGGTAAGCAGCCATAACTGTTTCTGTCTGAGCTAGGTCTTCTGTGCGATGTGACAGTTCAAACTTGGTCCTCGTGCTTGAATTACCAGTTATGCGTTGTTTTCCTTCGAATGTTCGCGCTTCTCAAGCCACCTCAGTGCTTTCAGCATAACATCCCAATATCCCTTACCAGGTCTTCTTCAGGTAGCAGAACCGCCAGGCAATCAATAGGCCCCAGGACTTCTCATCATAAATGCGACCCCACGTCTCCTTTGTCAAACGCTGCACGCTGCTATGAGAAAAGCACGCACAAACTGCAGCAAACGACTCTTCCCAGGTTTTTGCTTCTGACAATGGTTCTCCGCAGAACATCGCTGGACGTGCCCTCCCAACAATGTACAGGTCTGCATGTTCAAGGAAGCAAACGGTGTCTGCCAAAACATCGACTATCCAAATTTCCTGCCAAACGCAGTTGGTCGTCTGATGGGCATGCATCTTTGACATTTAGGGATTTTTGTTTGCATCTCATCCGTGGAACTTAATATAAAACGCCATGGCCTACTCCGAAGCGCGAAGCTCCAATGGCCGACCCCAGAACAACTGCCGAACAGCGGCCGCTGCAATCTCCCGGACTTCATTCTGGTGGTCGTTCTGGCAGAGTGACGTACAAGCCAACAGTAGAAGGAAAGACGAGCATAGCTCAGACGAGCCACGATGACAACCCCAGTTGCAAAAAGCAGACAAGACAGCCAGAATGACGCCCACAGCATGTATCGCTTAAAATGGCGCTTGAGCCTGCCCTTCAAGCAAACCTAGATCTTGAGAAATGTCCCGAGAAGAGCTTGAACAGCCAAGCGCTCCGGATCGTCAGTGTACGCGGTGGTAATCACTACCACCTTCTGCCCGACCTTCCAATCCACCTTCGCTTTTGAGTGGCTGAGGGATTAGGGTTTAGAGTACGGAAACAGGATAACAGCTTGGCCCCTGTCTCTGTGCTGAGATCAGGGTTTGGTGAGACTGGTCCCTGGTAGCTCACCCCTGAACGACAACGAATTCACAAAGGGACATGAAAGAAGACCAGCATTCCTTCTTGCGACATCCGCATTTGCATCAACGTGATCGGGCGTGTTCTGGAAAGCAGGTAAACACGGATGACTAGTGGATGCACTACCACGACAAGTTCAACAAAACATGCGCGTCCGACCAAGATCAAAACCCTTTTCTGGGATTACCTGCGGCAAACCCCTAGTGTCAAGCAATGCAGCAGGCTCCAGAGAACTCGTCAAACGAGGCCTCGTCCGCGAGTGATAGCTGCGTGGCACCAGGTGGGGCGCTAGCGGAGAGGCGAGTCCTTGCAACTGCTTGCAAGAAACGCGGGAATGCACGCCTGGGAGAGCATTGTCATTGTGCCAACCAAGAACGACGAATGTTCTCGCACCCCCGAGTATCCGTTACGATCTGCTATTTGTTCCTGCCCTGTGACATTGACGTGACAGCCGGAAGCACAAATAACATATCTAGGCTTGGTGAGTTCAGCGAGTTCCCATGTATATATTCATGTATTTTTGCTATGCTGGTCCGAAGCTTTTCAAGGTGGCGGTCTAAGTTCTGCTCAGTCAACGCATACGGGTACTTTGGTGTGGATTGGCTTTCAGGGTTTTTTGAAGACCTACAAGTTTCTTAATGCCTAGAATAGCAGAGACTGAAGAGATGGCATGGCGCGACTGGCAGTACTGTGCGGGTTAGATTTCTCCATGATCCACAGCAAAATGCGGCTTCTTGAAGAGGCTACAGTACTGTCCACAACAATGGGAACTCAAAAGATCAGCTAACAATTGCCACCCAAGACTATAAATACTACTTGACACTGGAATTCTAGTGGAGGCCAGCAAATAGCTTTTCAACAATACTAAACGTGTATTATAGTTTCCATTAATAAGGGAACCCCAATATAGAGCTCAAAACACTGGAACCCATAATATGGGGACCTTCAAGAAAGTACCCATATTCCCAGGAAACCCCTATATGCACTGCCCTGCGCGCCGATGCTTGAAACCCCAGAGCCGAATGACCATGTGGGCCAGTAGCGCGTGCCGAAGACCTGGGCATCATGGATTCCGGAGCTGGACGGTAACATCTCCACAGGCCCAGAATAGGGTTTAGAATTTAGGGTAGAAAAAATCCTGACTACAACCTCATGTCATGTCATGGCAATTTAAGCAGGTGCGATCGCCTTGGTTAGTAGCGTTAAGCTGACAAGAGCCTCCCAAAGAAAACTTGTTTTGCGTTTTTGGTCTACGGAAGGGCAGTCGCAATAACGAACCACGCGCTGCGGATGGGACTAAACAGTACAGGCCGTCGTGCTAGTAGTACAAGTAGAAGGAAATCTATTAAAATCAGGATATTCCCGGGCGCGGAGCTTTGTTATTATCACCCCGTCATTGTTGCCGATTGGACTTGTTTGTAGGTTT